GATGTTCGGGCGTTTTGTGACCCGCGTGCTCTGCGTCTTAATTTACCGAAGCAATTAGTGCGCTATCCTTCTCTCTCCCTTGACGCGCCGTCACTTTTTTTTGAGAGCTGAGTTTTCGCTGCGCCACCTGTTTTTCTCTATGGCGCAACAGGCCGCGCGGGCCTTGATTATTAGCGTCTCAACTGCGGGAGAGGCATTTTCGGCGTCCCGCGTGTTGTATTGTAAGCGAGCGTGCGACTAATTAATCGGATAACCAACAAATGTATACGAGTGCCCAGGCGCTGGGATAGAATAGTAGTGTGAGTGAAGCGTGTGTGGTTTTGGTGTTACTCGGTGGGAGAAGGTGTCCACGGGTAATCGTGATCTTCTACGGCGAGCGCAACGCGGCAACAGAGTGTTGCCCGTCGTCCAAGCGTTTGGCAGCTCGAGACGTCAGGATGCGCTTGGACAGCCAGGTCTCGAATCTCCTGTGCGCTCCCGAGCCCCCTGCGGCACTTCCTCGACACCCATCCTCTGCGGTGCGGTGTTGGAGTATTTATTACGGACGGCGCAATTGAGGTAAGAGAGCTCTCTTTAGGTACTAAAGGATCCTCGCGAATCGTGTAGCGCGTTATCTTGTCACGTTGCGAGCGAAGCGTGCAAGGCGTTGCATTAAGGTTACTTATTTCTTACAATTATAATAGTTCTGTACCTTTTATTGATTGATTATATAAAAATATTACACTTACCCCGGCTTTCTCTCCATCCGCGAGAGTTTTATGCCTAGGTAAGTAGTGTCATTCCGCGAATAATTGTTGTTTTCATTTATAAAAGAACCCGCTCTCACTCATCTATCCTATATTTTATCACCCTGAATATTATAAATCGGCTGTATATGTTCGCGTTGTCTCAAAGGAGAGTTGACCTTGTTAATGGTGCCCCGGGTGAGGAGTGAGTGCGAGGTTCTTTAGTAGCGTACTTTTGTCAATTTGCGCATTTCATCGTAATCCATATATTTCGGTATGTAAAAAGGGCGTTTGCTTTGCAACGGCTTGTTCTTAGAATTACAAAGGAGATTCTGCTTGGAGAATCTAGACTCGACTTGTTTTGATTTATTGAACTCGGGTCTTGTAGTATCGTAGGCTGAGTTGCAGTGCGAATGCGCTGTATTGCGGCACGGCTTGTGTTTATATTGCAGTTGTGAAGGTCAACGGGCCTTGCGCGCGCGTGTCTGCTCGTCGTCGGTCATCGTCATTCGCTCGGCAACAAACTTTCTTAATAAGACGTGTCTTACACTGTCGTCCTTTTCGTTCTCGATTTTCGTGTTATTGAGATACTTTATTGTGCGCGAGTAAATTTGTCTGATGTCGGAATAGAGTGCACAATGGCACCCGTAGCTCTGAGAAAGCTGACGTCGATGCAGGCGGCCCGCGAGGCTGAAATAAAAAGCATCCACGAGCGATTGATCGCGAAGCCACGTGAGTCACTTACGAGAGACATTGTGAAGGCCCGACTCGATGCCATCAAGGAGGTATGGACTGAGGCGCGAAAAACCAACGCGGATATAGTCATTCGAGACGATGTTGAGGCGGACGCGTACATCACGGATAAATGGTTCGAGCGTATGCAGGGCGTGTATGAGGGTGCGTTGGACGAGATGCTTATGATGCTTGCCCCTTTCGAAAAGGACGCTGATAGCAGCATTTCAGATGCGGGCTCTGAGTCGCGTGTCGCGAGGCTGCCTCGACTCCCACTGCCTACCTATTCGGGCGCATACGAAGAATGGGCGAGCTTCTGCGATTTATTCACTTTGCTGGTGCATAATGACTCCCGCTTATCAGACGCCACGAAGCTTCAATACTTGAAGTTGTGCTTGACGGGCGGGGCCGCGGAGCTTATCAGGGACGTGTCGACAACGAACGCGAATTACGTGGGTACATGGAAAGCGTTGAGGACTCGGTACAATAACCCGCGCTTAATAGTCAATAAGCTACTTAGGTCATTCATGGAGATTCCGAGCATGAGAGTAGAGTCAGCGACTGCCATGCGATTGTTCGTTGATGAATCGCAGCGTATTGTTCGGGCTTTGGAAAACTTGCAATTGCCAGTCGGGCACTGGGACGTGTGGCTAGTATTTTTGCTGGCTGATCGGTTGGATGCGGAGTCACGAAAATTGTGGGAAGCCGAGCTCAGTGCTAGAGATTTGGAGGATAGCGCAGATGGAAGCCCTGACGGGCTGGATGCCCTTAATTCTCAGCCGAAGTATTCTGATTGAGTTCAATTTTTGGAAAAGAGAGCCTAGGCTCTTGGCATGATTTCGACGGATAGAAAGGCGGAAAAGAGACCGGTGTCTGGCTCGGCACCGGCGCAGGCTCGGAAAGTTTTTCACGCGGGCGCGACTCAGCAATCTGCTTCTTCGAGGTGCCTCTTGTGCTCGGGAGCGCACCCACTGTGGAAGTGCACTAAAATGAAGGAGAAGGCTCCGCATGACCGATACTGGACGGCGCGTCGGCTACAGGCCTGCTTTAATTGCCTCGGGTCGCATAAGGCTAACGCGTGCCCTTCTTCGGGGCGTTGTACCAGTTGCGGAGGCAAGCACCACTCGATGCTTCACCTCAAGCCTCTAGGAAAATCTGAACGGCAGAACTCGAGTGGTTCACAGCAGCAGGGATCGGGCGGCGGTCAGGGCGTGGGGTCCAGGGTCGGCGCGGCTGCTGTAGCGTTGCATGCGTCCGCGATTGCGACGTTGAGTCGCGGAGTCCTTTTGGCTACTGCTCGAGTGACGGTGGTGGGTCCAGCTGGAGATAGCACCGTCGTTTGCGCCCTTTTGGATCAGGGCTCCGAGGCGTCCTTCGTATCAGAGTCGGTCGTGCAGTTGTTAGGCCTTTCGAAGGAGCGTGTTTGTGTCACTTTGAGTGGCCTGGGCACCAGTTTGGTGGGTATTGCGCGTGCGACCACGGAACTTGTTTTGAAATCATCGACCGATGAGGGCTTCGCGATTCGGACAAGCGCGTTTGTCCTCCCTCGTCTCACTACGCAGCTCCCGGCAAAGAATATCACTGATTTAGACTTAAGACGCTTCACCGGGTTTAAGCTCGCTGATCCGGAATTTTTCATTTCAAAGAAAATCGACTTTATTCTGGGTGCCGATGTTTATGGGCAGTTGCTCCGACCGGGCTTGGAAAGATTGGTTCCTTCACGGATCGTCATGCAAAATACGGCATTTGGATGGATTGTCTCGGGTGGGTTGCATGAGGAGCGCTCACGGCGGGCGGAGCAAGCTGATTCTCGAGTGTATGTACAGGCGCTGCACTGCGCTGCGTCGGATGAGTTGGAACAGTCACTAAAGCGATTTTGGGAGCTCGAGGACTTACCGGTGACGCAGGTTAAAATGAAGCTCGAGGACGAGGCTTGCGAGAAAATATTCAAAGAGACGCATGGGCGCGACGCAGATGGAAGATATGTCATGCGGCTGCCATGGAAGGCAGATTTACCGTCTGGAGCGGCTGAAACAAGGCGGATGGCCGTTGGCTCCCTTTCTTCCATGTACCGTCGGTTTGCGCGCGATCCCCAATTGGCGCATAGTTATCAACAATTCATGACGGATTATGAGCGACTGGGCCATATGACACGGGTTCCGGACTCTGAGGTGCGCGAGGATAAAGCGTGGTATTTGCCTCACCATGCCGTGGTGCAGTCAACGACGGCTGATTGGAAGCTGAGGGTAGTCTTCGACGCATCGCGGCGAACTCGGGATGGCCTTTGCCTTAACGGATTTCTGCACACGGGTGCTCCACTCCAAGAGACCTCTCGCTAGTTTTACTCAATTGGCGGCGTTATTTGTACGTGTTTACCGCGGATATAGTTAAAATGTTTCGACAGATCCGCGTGAAGCCGGAGGACCAGGATCGACAGAGAATTGTGTGGGCGCCTAACCCGGACTCTGTCCCACGAGATTACCGCTTAACTACGGTCACGTACGGCACGGCATGCGCGCCCTTTTTGGCGATACGAACTCTGTTACAATTGACCGAGGATGAGGGCTCGCGGTTTCCGCTGGGAGCGGCATGTCTCAGCACTGAAACATACGTCGACGACACGTTCGCCGGGGCCGATGAACTGACGGACGCGCTGCAAAAAAGGAACGAGCTCGTTAAGCTGCTGGGTTGCGCCGGGATATCACTAGATAAATGGGCCGCAAATCACCCAGAGCTTATCCCTCCTCGACAAGCGCAGAAAGACGTAAAACAAATTGACGAGGACCAGTCAGTAAAAACACTCGGCGTGCATTAGAGTCCGGCTCACGATCAATTTAGATTTAATTGTAGAGACGTCGCAGAATTGTCAGCTGCCTCCACGAAGCGGACGGTTCTCTCAAACATTGCTCGACTATTCGATCCGCTTGGCTGGCTGTCCCCGGTGACAGTAGGAGCGAAAATCTTAATGCAGGATCTGTGGATTCAAAAATGCGATTGGGATTCCCCTCTACCGGTGGAGATTCGCGAGCGTTGGTACGAATACTGCAAGTCATTTGCCAGTCTGCCGTCGCTGGCAGTCGACAGATGGTTGGGCGTTGCAAGTAATTGCTCATTACAAATTCACGGATTCTCTGACGCGTCATCGCGGGCCTTCGCGGCCGCCGTATATCTGCGCGTGGATGGAGGGGACCGACGTATTACGGTGTCACTGTTAGCCGCAAAGACGAAGGTCGCTCCGGTAAAGACCGTCAGTATACCGAACTTAGAGCTTTGCGGCGCCGCTCTGCTTGTTAGGTTGATTGGCTACTTGATGAAACTGGACTTTCTTAAAACAGCTCCGGTCTTCGCTTGGTCCGACAGCCAGATTGTGATTATGTGGCTGCGCAGGCACCCCTGTTCTTGGAAAACCTTTGTTGCAAATAGGGTGTCGTTCATCCAGACGGAGTTGCCCTCTGCAACTTGGAGGCACGTACCAACAAAGGAAAATCCGGCTGACTTGGCGACACGAGAAGCCGATCCTATAGAGTTGGTGGAGAATGGGCAGTGGTGGCACGGGCCTTGCACTGACGCTATCCTTCTCTCTCCCTTGATGCGCCGTCACCTTTTTGAGAGCTGAGTTTTCGCCGCGCCACCTGTTTTTCTCTATGGCGCAACAGGCCGCGCGGGCCTTGGTGATTAGCGTCTCAACTGCGGGAGAGGCATTTTCGGCGTCCCGCGTGTTGTATTGTAAGCGAGCGTGCGACTAATTAATCGGATAACCAACAAATGTATACGAGTGCCCAGGCGCTGGGATAGAATAGTAGTGTGAGTGAAGCGTGTGTGGTTTTGGTGTTACTCGGTGGGAGAAGGTGTCCACGGGTAATCGTGATCTTCTACGGCGAGCGCAACGCGGCAACAGAGTGTTGCCCGTCGTCCAAGCGTTTGGCAGCTCGAGACGTCGGGACGCGCTTGGACAGCCAGGTCTCGAATCTCCTGTGCGCTCCCGAGCCCCCTGCGGCACTTCCTCGACACCCATCCTCCGCGGTGCGGTGTTGGAGTATTTATTACGGACGGCGCAACTGAGGTAAGAGAGCTCTCTTTAGGTACTAAAGGATCCTCGCGAATCGTGTAGCGCGTTATCTTGTCACGTTGCGAGCGAAGCGTGTAAGGCGTAGCATTAAGGTTACTTATTTCTTACAATTATAATTGTTCTGTACCTTTTATTGACTGATTATATAAAAATATTACACTTACCCCGGCTTTCTCTCAATCCGCGAGAGTTTTATGCCTAGGTAAGTAGTGTCGTCCCGCGAATAATTGTTGTTTTTATTTATAAAAGAACCCGCTCTCACTCATCCATCCTACATTTTATCACCCTGAATATTATAAATCGGCTGCATATGTTCGCGTTGTCTCAAAGGAGAGTTGACCTTGTTCATGGTGCCCCGGGTGAGGAGTGAGTGCGAGGTTCTTTAGTAGCGTACTTTAGTTAATTTGCGCATTTCATTGTAATCCATATATTTCGGTATGTAAAAAAGGCGTTTGCATTGCAACGGCTTGTTC